TGATAATTACTCACAATTGCCGTCAGCCACCTGCGTGGGAATGAATTATATGTTTCTTTAAATCAGCCTTTGCTTTGTACGTCTTCGAACAATGACCACACGAGAAGGGTCTATCATCGCTGTGAACGTATCCCACATGCAATCTTAAATTACCCTCAATCTTGAAGCTTTTCGAGCAACGACTACAAGCGAAGGGCCGATCGCCGATATGTACTTGCATTATATGATGCCGCAACGTAGCTTTCGTTTTGCATTTGCTTGAACACTGGGCACAAGAAAAAGGTCGATCACCTATGTGAACAAACAAAACATGTTTCTGCATTGCAATTTCCCCTTTGAATTTCTTGAAGCAATGACCGCAAGAAATGGGTCGATCATCATTGTGAGCTCCGAGCACATGCGTCCTCACATCATGCTTCCTTTTGAATTTGCTGGGGCACTGAGCGCACGAGAAGGGTCGATCACCGATATGGACGTGCTTAACATGATTCCGTAAGCCAGTTCTCGTCTTGAATGTACTTGAGCATCGATTGCACGGGAACGCTCGATTGTCAAAGTGACACGTAATATGGGATTTTAATTGAGTTTTTGATTTATATTTCCTTGGGCACTGTTCACACGAGAAAGGTCGATCAGCGATGTGAACGGCGGTTATATGATTGTACACACCGGCTTTCGTTTTAAAATTTCTCAGGCAGTGACAACACAAGAAAGGCCGATTTTCATTGTGAACGCGTTCATGTATCTTTAGAGCAGCTCTCGATTTGAATTTACTTGCGCACTGATCACACGAGAAAGGTCGATCGTCGCTATGGACTCGGAGATGATTCTGTAGTTCGTTTTTCGATTTAAATTTGCTTGAGCACTGAGCACATGAGAAAAGTCGTTCACTACTGTGAACTCTCCTTATATGATCATGTAAATGTTCCTTCCTGTGAAATTTATTTAGGCACTCATTACAAGAGAAGTTCCGAACATCGTTATGGACGGAACGAATATGAAGTATTAAATTACTCTTCGTTTTAAAAGCTGACGAACACTGATCACAAGAAAATATCGGCTGATTTTGAACGTGGGCCCTTTGAACGTGCAATTCTAAATAAAAACTTGATTTAAACGTTTTAGAGCACTGATCACAGGAGAATGGTCTATCATCGTAACGGGCGCACGCACGACGTATTTGATGCATGATTAATGCTGGTTCCGATTTAAATTTTCCTGAGCACGAATTGCAAGAGAATGGGCGATCATTTTTGTGAACGTCGAGCATGTGCCGCACTAACTGCGCTTTTGCTATGAATTCGCTTGGGCACTGATCACAAAAAAATGTTGTATTATGGGCACGCCCTATATGTGTCCGTGCAGCTGCCTTTGAATGAAATGTGCGCGAGCACTGATTACACGGGAAGAGTCCATCATCATAGTGCCGTCTGTGCACTGCTTGTACGTGCTTTGCAAAAGACTTAATTGATTTAAATTTGCTTGGACACAAATTACAAGAGAGTGGCCGATCAATTTTGTGAACGTCGATCATGTGCCGCACTAAGTGAGCTTTTGCTATGAATTCGCTTGGGCACTGATCACAAAAAAATGTTGTATGGGCATGGACAATCCCTATATGCGACCGTGCAGCTGCCTTTGAGTGAAATGTGCGCGAGCACTGATTACACGGGAAGGGTCCATCATTGTGGGCGATTGCCAACAATGGTGAGTCTGGGCTGGCTTTCGACGCACATGTTGAGGAGATCCGGGAAGTAAATTCGTCCAAACTGATGCAATGAGACTGCTTATAATTCTTCGTTGAAGACTTTTTCAAGGGTTTTCCCTTCGATAATTTGCGTCCTTCTCCTCGGAAAATTTTCTGGACCGTCAACGCCGCTTGGCTTGGCTCTCCATTTTCCGGGTTTGTATCTCGATGAAAGGCGTGTGAGAACTCAGAGACGTCCTGCAACAAAACAACTGGAGGCTATTACTAATTTCTCCGTCAACCTTCGCTTAGGAGCGCTACAGCAAGTGCACATCCAATTACACATGTTTGTTTCAAATATTTCAGGAGGAAGATTTAGGTTACAGTGCACTGAAAAGAAAAGTAGCTTAGATCAAGCATGATAATTATTGAATTTGCCGCCAAGATTTTTCTTTATCTTGCTTTAAGCTGACTTTTTCTTGATTCAAGAAAAATAATGCTTGGGTTAAGCAAAAAAGTAGCTTATATTAACCAGCAAAATTCTTGATTTCGGAAGAAATACTTCTTGGCGGCAAATTTAAGATTCTTTTTTTTCCAGTGTGATGGAAATATTTCTGAGCGGTGAGCTTGCAAATTGCTTGTGGCAAAACGTGGACCTTTTTCGTGTCGCGCCGTAGAGAATTGATTCGTGCCGATTTATTCTCATTCGTGATGTTGGAGCTTTTTAGCCAACGTGCGTAAAAAATTCACGTGAAGTGAAGTGAGTTGTAGTGATAAGTTGATTCACAGTTGTAGTGATAAGAGAAGTTAGGTCATTTTTTTCTGTTTGGATCTAATTCGATATAATGGTGGTGACTTGAGGCCCTAAGGAGACGTCACCACTAGTTCTTGTGAGGTTTTATTTCCGGTCGCCAAGTCCCACAAGCTGAGGGCTTGGCTTCTTGTGGTACAGCAAGCACTAGCCGCAACGAGACTGTAAGCTCACCGCAAACAAATAATGCCAGCAGGATATGAAGGGTTTGGTAGAAAACAAGACAAAATTGATAATCTGAGAAATGTAATTTTATTGGTTTTCTTTCATTGAATGTTTGCGTTGACAGAACTTTGAAGCAGAGCAAAACATTAGTAAGTTTTGAAGGTATAAATGTTTAAAATTCTACTTTAAAAAAAAAAGCAAGCTCCAATCTCAACTTAAATTCCCAGTTCCTTTCACAAATGTTGCATGTTGCATAATGTGCACAATGTTACATAAATGAGTTTCTAGGTGATAGCTACAAATAGAGATGTCAGATAATAGATTGTTTCTGAGGAATTTCGGAATATAGCTGTTACATACAACATATTTTTTATTTAAATTTAATTGATACATGTTGAAATTAAGTTTTTTGGGGTACAAACCACATTTGACACGTACCATAAACTAAAACTCAGCTTCTGTATTTACGTAATAGAAAAATAAATAAATAAATGTTAGTAATTTGAAAAATATTTGATAAAAACTGAGCTTCTTCTTTTGTAACTCCAAAATTTGTTGTCATAATTGGTCTTCTACTGTCATGACGAACAGTAAGAAGAGAAAGATACAATTTACAGAGTTTACTTGATGGGTAAACCCCTCTTTCAATGGTATCAGGAAGTATGTAAAATAAATTAGGCGAAAATCTGCTCCTGAGCGCATTATGATCAATAAATACAAAACAATCTCTTACTCTGAGCTATGACCACACGAAAAATATTGTGCGTGATGCGCCCACCCACAGCCATTTTGCAGCGTGATGGCGATGAAATAATCCTATTAGGTGAAATAATCCTATTAGGCACTTCAAGGGGAAGTCCGTTCCGACTCAGGACACCCCGATTCACCTCCCAGTTAATTTAGAATAATTTTTCTGTATTGGGGTAAGTGGCGGCCATCCGTCAGGATTCAGGGATGATCATTTTGCAGTAATTTTTTATTACTAATGAAGAAATAATTTTGTGGGGCAGCGAGAGGGGGGGGGTTACATTTATGTAAAAAAAAAAAAAAAAAAAAACATGAATAATGCGGGGCTGTGAGCTTGATCCATTACCAGTTTCTTCGATCCTCTCCTAATTACTTTTACGTAGGCCCGAGGCACAAGAGTCGTATGCGTTTGAATATTGGCTTTCGCTTTAAATAGCCTAGGCAGTAGTCACCAAAGAGAAATTAATTGATGCTACGTCCATGTTTCAAATATGTACCTGTAATTTAGATATTGACTTGAATTTGAATGAGCATTGATCACATGAGAGAAGTCAATTGCCGTTATGCACACTTGAACCGCGTCAAGAAGAAAGGAACCAAGCCACATCAGCTACAGCTGGTGACAATTGATGTAACTATGGTAACTAGTTATACAGGGTGATCCAGACCACCCGTCCACTATCTTTTTCTCGAAAACTGCGGAAAATTGAGCTTCGGGACCAAAACTTTCATGGGGTAAATCGGCCACAGAGAATTGAATTAAAATATGTTCAGCCCCCCCCCCCCCCCANGGTTGGGGGGGGGGGGTTGCCCCCCGTAGGGACCATTTTTTAGGGCTGAAAATATTTTCATTCAATCCTTTGGGGTCGATTTACCCCATGAAATTTTTGGTCCGCAGTTTTCAGAAAAAGATAGTGTACGGGTGGTCTGGATCACCCTGTATATAAAGAGAAAGGAATTTTATCTTTCCTTTTATCATATATGTCCTTATATATCAGATCAAGATACTCATAAAAATGTTAATATTTATTTTTTCATGTTAGTTAGTAAATCTTATGGTTACCCTAATTGGTAACAACTGCAAAAAACAGGGCCGTTATACGTTTACGTGAAAACGGTTGTGCAGATTTTTAAGCAAATTTCAGTGAAATTTCTGCATCGCGCGAAGCAAATTCAACATTCAAAGGCGTCCTCACAAACGCCCTCTTGTGAAAAATGAAATTGTGGCTTGGTTCCTTCCTGCTAAACGCGGTCTACTTTTCAAATGCCGTTTCGGAGCATCCTTAAAGTTAGATTTTCTCGAACAGCGATCACAAGGAAAGAATCACTCACCGGTGTGACGGTGGCGTGGCGTGAATTGCGATTGATCGGTTGTTATGCCATTTAAACCTATGATAAAAGATCGATTATCAGGGTGTTCGCAGCGAGCACCTTAGTAATCGATTCTTTACCATAGTTTTAAATGGCGAGATATCGATAATCGCTTATTCACGCCACGCCACTGCGGTGTGGACGCTCATCACGTGTTCTCTTCGCTCAATCTTTGTTCTAAAGCTTGAGCACTTATCATGGGAAGAACGCAATTCAGTATTTTGGACTTCCTGACTTCTGCCACATGTCTCTGTAAGTTAAGCTTACTCTTAGATTTGAATTTCCGAACGCAATAGCCACAGGAGACGGTCAAGATCCTATGGATGGACATGCTCAATATGCGTTTGCAAACATCTTTTAGTTTTGAAAGTGCTTGAGCACGTATCACATGAAAAAGGTCGATCGGAAGTGTGGACCAACAAAACATGCTGCTTCAGAGCAGACTGTGATTTGAATGTGCTCGAGCACAGATCGCACAAGAAGGACCGAGAGCCAATATGGACGTACTTAATATGGTCCCGCAAAGTAGATTTTGATTTGAAAGTGCTTGAGCACGTATCACATGAAAAAGGTCAATCGGAAGTGTGGACCAACAAAACATGCTGCTTCAGAGCGGGCTGTGATTTGAATGTGCTCGAGCACAGATCGCACAAGAAGGACCGAGAGCCAATATGGACGTACTTAATATGGTCCCGCAAAGTAGATTTTGATTTGAAAGTGCTTGAGCACGTATCACATGAAAAAGGTCAATCGGAAGTGTGGACCAACAAAACATGCTGCTTCAGAGCGGGCTGTGATTTGAATGTGCTCGAGCACAGATCGCACAAGAAGGACCGAGAGCCAATATGGACGTACTTAATATGGTCCCGCAAAGTAGATTTTGATTTGAAAGTGCTTGAGCACGTATCACATGAAAAAGGTCAATCGGAAGTGTGGACCAACAAAACATGCTGCTTCAGAGCGGGCTGTGATTTGAATGTGCTCGAGCACAGATCGCACAAGAAGGACCGAGAGCCAATATGGACGTACTTAATATGGTCCCGCAAAGTAGATTTTGATTTGAAAGTGCTTGAGCACGTATCACATGAAAAAGGTCAATCGGAAGTGTGGACCAACAAAACATGCTGCTTCAGAGCGGGCTGTGATTTGAATGTGCTCGAGCACAGATCGCACAAGAAGGACCGAGAGCCAATATGGACGTACTTAATATGGTCCCGCAAAGTAGATTTTGATTTGAAAGTGCTTGAGCACGTATCACATGAAAAAGGTCAATCGGAAGTGTGGACCAACAAAACATGCTGCTTCAGAGCGGGCTGTGATTTGAATGTGCTCGAGCACAGATCGCACAAGAAGGACCGAGAGCCAATATGGACGTACTTAATATGGTCCCGCAAAGTAGATTTTGATTTGAAAGTGCTTGAGCACGTATCACATGAAAAAGGTCGATCGGAAGTGTGGACCAACAAAACATGCTTCTTCAGAGCGGGTTGTGATTTGAATGTGCTCGAGCACAGATCGCACAAGACGGACCGAGAGCCAATATGGACGTACTTAATATGGTCCCGCAAAGTAGATTTTGATTTGAAAGTGCTTGAGCACGTATCACATGAAAAAGGTCGATCGGAAGTGTGGACAAACAAAACATGCTGCTTCAGATCGGGTTGTGATTTGAATGTGCTCGAGCACAGATCGCACAAGAAGGACCGAGAGCCAATATGGACGTACTTAATATGTTCCCGCAAAGTAGATTTTGATTTGAAAGTGCTTGAGCACGTATCACATGAAAAAGGTCGATCGGAAGTGTGGACCAACAAAACATGCCTCTTCAGAGCGGGTTGTGATTTGAATGTGCTCGAGCACAGATCGCACAAGAAGGACCGAGAGCCAATATGGACGTACTTAATATGGTCCCGCAAGTAAGATTTTGATTTGAAAGTGCTTGAGCACGTATCGCATGAGAAATGTCGATAGGAAGTATGGACGCACGCAATATGTCTCTTCAAATCCGCGGAGTGTTTAAACGTTTTCGGGCACTGATCACAAATGAAGGGTCGTTCACCGAGATGTAAGTTGCGTGTATGATACTGCAAACGAGTTTCTGTTCTAAACCTCGCTGAGCATTGGTCGCATGAGAATGGTCGATAGGTGCTGTGAATGGACTTTATATGTGAATGAATTGCGCTTTTTGATTTGCACTTGGTTGAGCAGTGAGCACACGAGTAGGTTATCCAATCATTGCTGTGCGTTTGCTTGACATGAACGACCATGGCGCTTTTCGTTCTATATTTTCTCGTGCACTGACTGCACGCGAAGGTTTGGTTCTCGTTGTGAACTGAGCGGTTATGGTGCCTTAGAGCGCACTTACGTGCAAAACTGGAAGGACACTGATTGCACAAGAATGGACGATCATTGGTAGGGAATTTCTTCAGATGCAAGTTTAAAGCGGTTTTTGTTTTGTATCTGCGTGAGCACTCATCGCAGGGGAAGGGTCGAGCGGCAGTGTGGACGTACTTCATGTGTTCTCTGAGTTTACTCGTCCATTTAAATTTTTTGAAGCACTTATCACACGAGAGGGGGCGATCTTCACCGTGCACTCCTTGTACGTGCCGTTTTAAACAATGGTTAAATTTAAATTTTCTTGAGCATTGACCACATGAGAAGGGCCGATCTTCGCTGTGGACGCCCTGAACGTGAGTCCGTAGTGCATTCCGGCTTTTAAAGTTTCTTGAGCATTGAGCACATGAGAAGGGGCGTTCATCATTGTGAGCGTACTTAATGTGTGTTTGTAAAGCTCCTTTCACTTCAAATTTACTAGAACATTGACTACACGCGAAGTTTCGATCACTGTTGTGGGCGTGACGAGAGTGAACGAGTAAACCATTCTTGCAATTAAAGGTTGATGAGCATTGGCTACAAGAGAATAATGGTGGTTTATCGCTGTGCAAGCCTTTCAGGTGCGCTTTCAAATGTAAAATCGATATGAATTTTGATGAGCATTTATCACAGGAGAATTTTCGGTCTTCACTGTGGCCTCGATGCATATGCCCCAGAAGAGATGCCCGCGATTTAAATTTTCTTGAGCACTGCACGCACGAAAATGGTCGCTCATACTTGGGCATGGGCATTACTGATGAGCTTGGAGAGAGTCCCGATTTAAGTTGCGGTGAGTGTTCGTTTAATGGGGGAAGTTGATCAGAGGTGCATGGCAATACAGCATTAGTCGAATGCTCGCTGCATGCAACGATTCGAGCATTGCCGTTAGCATGCCTGTCAATGCCTGATTTCAACATTCTCTTGCCAAGTTGGTTTTTATTTTGCCGACTGGATTTCGTCAGTCTTGCGCTAGTATTAGTGGGATAATTAAAACTACTGCTGGGAGAGGATTTTTCCAAAGTTGTGAGACGAAGCTTCTTCGTGTCCGTGGTTGAAGTGAATGTCTCTAAGGCTTCTTTTTTGGAAAATGTTCCTTCATTTTGGGTCGACACTAATGAAGCGTTGATAGATAGTCTGCCGGTTCCTTGGTTTTCTGAGACATGTTTGTGGACGGATGTGGGATCAAAACGCGATCCTCCCTGTAACAAAACAATGTAGGTGCGTTATACTCTCCTTGGTAAAGCCCAGCTGCAGCAAATTTTTTAGGTGTCACACGAGGAAAATCATGCGGAACCACAATCGATTATAGTCACCGATACGTTTCTGTCCTCGTTAGAATGGACCACTAGACAAGGTACGAATTTCAGCATTCTGATTCATGATTATTAACCAAAATTTCACGTAAAACACGATGCGCGCAACGAAAATTACCGAAATCAACTCCTTACGAAGATATTTAATGATTCCTGATGCGTGAATTCAAACCACCCGCTCATGAAAACTCAATACTCTACGTGATTCACATCGCGCGCTAAACGTTATCATGACAGTATCTGCGATTTAAAAATCTGGCAACCTCAATCTTGACGCTTTGGCTCAGCTATAGCAAATTGCTCATAAATTGAACAACACATGGTGGGAAATGAGCATTGCTCGATTAAGAAGCTTGCTGAAACCGTTGTACTGCGCGATTTGACTCACGTAGAGCTTTGAGTTTCTTGTGAGCGGGCAGTTCAAATTCCTCGTACCCAATGTGAAATAAAAACGTTGATATCTTCGTTAGGAGTTAGTTTCAGTAATATCCATTGCGGTAATCGTGTTCTACGTGAAATTCTGGTTAAGAAACATGTATCAGATTTCTTAAATTCGTACCTTGTCTAGTGGTCCATTACCCGTAAAAGCAATGCGAAAATCTTAATGGTGAAAGCTCTCATAAGAAGAACGAATTTTGAGCCCGATATTCAGCCATTTCAATCAGTAGCAGTTTCGATTGAGCAAGATGTTTCAGTTCCGAAATTGAAGATTTTATTATTCATTTCTTGATTTGGTGGGAGACGATCTTTAGTCTATACTTGCAATTACAGTTGGCAGATCCCATATTTATTTTACGCGTGTTTTATTCATAATTAGTAAACATTTAAAATTCGGAAGTTGTATTTAGACGTAACATTTAAAGCATGAATCTTGCTTTTATACTGTACATATTCTTACAATGGACAAGAAAGACTGACGTTTTTAAATTTTCCATTTAAAATAATCAGTTTTTAAAGGTAGATTATATAAGAGGGCTAAGAGATTACCTAAAACGCATTCAGGTCAATTAATTTCAAGAAGACTTGAGCGCCACGAAATCGAAAATCGAGTATTCGGTGGTTCCGCATTGCTTAGACATACATGCATTTTGTTGCAACGTGGCATGTAAAAAACTGAATTTTAAGGCCTAAAAACGTCTGAAAAGTTCAAACACTCTAAAAAAGACACAATCGCTGAAG